TCATTCAGTAAACTCTTATCTTTTGTGGTGAAAACAGGATTGTGGTTTCAATGGCAGGCAAGCTGTCAAAGCTCATTTAAGAAATAAAACACAGTCTCTTTCCTGTGCCCATCTCCCTATAGTTGTATTTTTAGTCTAAGTGTGATGGGGAGGATTATTGTTGGTTTTTATATTCTTCTAAATGCCAGCAACATGCATGTATCAAGTTTCATAATGTGCCTGTGAAGATATTTATTTAAAGCAACATTGTCACCTTTTTTCTTTAAAGGCAATTCTATACCCTCGCTAGAGTATATTAAATGTTGGATTTCCAAGGGCTTATTAAATATTCAGTAGTTTTCTTTTTCTGTAGTCAAGTGTGTCAAGGGCAAGCCTTCTAAGTCCTTGAATGAAACTCAAATGAACTAACCAAACCTTAAAGCTGCGATTGAATACTCATGTTAGAAAATATACATTACACAATGAGGGGTGCTGAAGGAGTAGATATTGAGATCCAACCCCAGAACAAGTTGTATCCAAACAGGATGCAGACTCTTTCTGGGAAAATACTGAACTGATGTGAGAGGTTTTATTCAAAACTTAACTATGAAGCATGAACTAAGGGTGACTGTGATTACTGTGCATTAACAGTGCATTAACCTCTTCACTAACTATGACCTGTCCATCTTGGAATACTAAATGATGTGTAGAAATAGCCTGTTTTAAGGGTGTGGGATGGACAGGTAAAGCCTATCATGAATATGGAGTAGTATGAGTGATTTTGTGAACATGAATAACACATCTGAGCGTGAGGATGAATATCTAGCTCTGTTGGTGTTTTATTTGGGCTGTGTCTAAGCTGAAAAACCTTAGAATGATGGAAGTCAGGTCCTGGCTCCATCACAGGACAATGTCAAATTATGCAACCAGTCCCCTGCCTGGGTTTGCATTGGAAAGGAAACTTGGGCAGGCAGGCTAGGTGCGAGCCACAGCATCCTCTGACCAGGTGCCTTTTCCTACTGTGAAATCCAGACACGACCTACGAGATTGTTTTCAGGTCATTTTCAGCCACAATTTTAAAAGTGACCTTAATTTCTTCAAGGCATTTTAGGACCTATGTGCGAGGTAGAACATGGCATTGACTGCGCAGAAATTCCTACAATTGCAGTCCTAGAATTTGTTGTCATTTTTAAAATTGCATTAAATGCTGAGCAACTCAGTTTCCCAAGGAACAATTAATTCAAAATAGGAATCATGAAGTTTTCTGCTTCCAACAAGTTATCTGCAGGCATCTGACAACTGCTTTAGATTTATGTGCTTCATTAAGAATCAAGTTGGAGAAGGTTAATCCTGTGAACATTAGTAGGACTCGGCAGCAGAGCTTGGCTGGTGATCCCATCAACTAGAGAAGCTGGGAGCTGGAATCTGTATCAGCGTCATCTGAAATGTGATGCCAACACACATGAACAAAGTTGGGTGCACACTGGGAGCAGAGGAAATCCGCAGCCTACTGAGAGCTTTAACTACTTAATGAGGAACGTTCTGCATGCTGTGTATTACATACTGAACATTTTTGTAACTTTTAACTGCTATCTTCTGGCAAAAATTTGAGAACTTTTTATTAATTCAATTTGTATTCATTTCAGTTTTGAAAAAGGCTGGTTTGGTGGCCCTGGAGTGTCTGTACAACCATTCTGTCACTTAGAAAAGTGTACATCAGGAGAAAAAAAGAAAACCTAAATGAAGAAATATAATTTTATCTCATCCATCAAAACAACCAAGAAACAACTATTTTTTAAAAACTTCTAAGAAATTAGAAAAGAATCCTCATTATTTGGATCTTATTTGAATTTTTTTTATTTATTTTTTTTTTTCCAAAGAGTTTCAAGTCTTGTGCTTGGGCCACAATCTTTGATTTAAAAAGGGGGGTCGGTGAAGCTGTTTTGCTGTATATAAAGTCTGGATTTGTCTTGCAGCTAGTCAAAACTGAAGTTTTCAGAACTTCTCACAGTGAAAGACTGCTAATGATTCAAAAAAACCTGTCTCTTCCTATGACCCTTCTGAAATGATGATCAGGTGAACTCCTTGCAGATTTGTATGCTTTGTGAAAAAGAACCCCAATAGTTGTATGTGGTACCCCAATTATTGTGATCATTAGCAGGACCTAGGAAGAGAATTTGGTTGGTCCCATCTGTAAGAGAATCTGGGAATTTGGATCTTTCCGAACTTTGTCTGAAATGTGGTGTTTGCACAAATGAGCAAAAAAGAATATGTTTTTAGAGGCTCATTACCTTTGAACTGAGAGAAGATGGAATTAGGATGAAGCAGAAGGATAGCATAAAGTGAGGACAGCACATGACAATTTCATTTCTGTCATTACAACTGTTTGTGAAAAACATGCTAGAGTCTTTTCGACATGTTACCTAGTATTATGTAAGATAATATTAAGGAAAGTAAATCCCTAAGCATTTTTCTTTGACTGATAAAATATTCCTTCTTGAGTTGGCCATTGCATTTTCTTCTTGAGTTTTCTCTGAACCGTCTGACTATTGCAGTAACATTTTATGTATTCTTATGTATGAGGTTTCATTGTGCTAGGTGCTATGCAAGTCCTGTCCAGAATGTCCTGATCCAAATAATTTACAGTTTAAAACAAAACACAACAAAAGATAAAAGGAAGGAGTGTCTTTGCTCAAAATCAGTGATGTAAATGCTATTGTGTGCATGGCGAAAGGTGTACATCTCGTTGTTTTACATTGCTGTGAATGGAAATTGTGGGATTATCAAGAAATCTGTCACCAAATTGTTTTTTCTTGCCTTTGTTTGTTCTTACCTCTGAAAGATGATTGCCTTTAGAATAACAGAGTAGGTTACTCAGCGGATTTTGGAAATGACTGAATATAATTTTCTTTCAGGGATAATAAAGCACCATTGAATGTAGGTGCACAGTTAAAAATTTCAAGCTGCTTTGCCAAGTGCTGAGTGCCAAATGCACTGTGGCCTTTCACAATGTCAGTGTTGAGCAAAACAGTAATAAATAGCTCAGCAGGCAGTTCTACCTGTAGTTAATCCCTTGGTATCTGGCATTTTTTTAGATGGGATCTGAACCAGAATGGACTCTCTTTCTGAAATACAGCCCAGAAACAGGTGCTAATTACTTGCATACTACTAGGTTCAGTGTATTGTTGAATGCATATTTAATCCTTATTGTATCTGAGTTGTTGGTAAATTTTAGTTTGGCTAGGTTGAATGTAATTTTGTGTTCTTTTTGGAAAAAAAAATGTTCATAGTTGCCTGAAATTGCCAAAGGGTTGCTGTTAAAGACGTTGCCCAGTATTTTATCTATTAAAAGTTCCCACTCTGATGGCAAACTACAGTGCTGACTTAGCTTCGGTGATCCTCAACCTCCACAGATTTGTTTGCTTTTTCCTTCCTTCGCTGTGTAGAAAGATGCTGGAGGATGCTCTAGGGGCGTTCCAAGGGTCATTCTTAGCCCACTGGTGGCTTCGAGTCTAATAAATTGTCTGTCCATGTTATGGAAAGGTTTGCAAAGGTCTGCTGAAATTAATTCACTTGCTTAGGTTCTATAAATCTGGTTGTATTTGCTGACTCTAGTTGTCTTACACAAGACTGAGGCTTTTTTGTGTGTGTTGGTGTCAGGTGCCAGGAATAGACGAGCTATGAACATGCAGAAATTTTGTAGTTAAGGCAAAGGCAGAAAATCCTGTTCGGTGAAAATCAGCCAGACAGTGTAAGATTGTTTGCTTAGCTTGTGACTAGAAGTTCAGACTGGATGATGAGTGTTCAGTTCAGTCCCTGAGTCAGTTCTTTCTGAAAGTTAACAGATTTAGAGCGTTTATAGTTGAGGGACTTGGTGCAATAACTTTACTTCATTGATTAAGGAAAGGAAGCCATAAACAAGCTGCAAATCTCTGATACAGGTAGATATATGGGGGTTTTTTGATAGATATATATATCTTGTGAGTCTGAATGCAATAAATTTGCCAGGCTTGCATTGCGAATTCAGAACTGTTTCTCAGAATAAAAGCAATTCTCTACCGGTTGTAGAGACAACATTCTGTTGTCTAATTGATGTTCTGTGTTAGAAAAATGCAAGCATTCAGTATTGTACCAGCCCAAATGAACTCCTGTGGCATGCAATACTAAATCTGTGTGCTAATATGAAATTTGGTGATTGATACCCAAAGTACTCAAGATCAGTTTTGTGGTAATGTTGCAGCCTGGATTAAGATGACAGAATGGAGGCTTTGGTTATGGCTGCTGTTCCGTCTCCCTTCTAACTAGATTTTTTCAATGAGATTCAAGATTTTGGTGTGGTAACATACCAGCATCTTGCTGCCACATTTTGTCTTGCCTGTACCACTGGCACCCGGACTCAAAGCTGCCTTTTCCAGTAGGCTGATTGTAAAGGTTATGAAATTGTTTGCTTCTTGCTGGTCTTTTTTAAGGTACTCGGTTTCAGGTTGGGGATTAATGTTAAAAAAGAGATTCCCTGAGTGATTTGTAAGGAAGATTGAGGGAAACATAAAATACGTAAAGTTTGTTTACTAAAACAAATAGTATGAAAAAGGATGAAGAGCCTGCCTCAAGCTCTGAGATCTCTATCATACATTTTAGTTTCACTAGCAAGTGACAGTTTAAAATTATAAAAATCCAAAGCCAAAACAGGTAGTAATTTGCTGCCATTTTGAAAGAAAAGTGTTTCTTTGTTGTATCATGCAATTGTAGAATTTCAAGCTGTTAGATATGTAAGGAAGCACATAGGCACTAGGTATTTTCAAAAACCTCTTCAGGCATCTTTTTATCCCTTTGGGCCCCTAACACCTTTGAAACTCTTTAAGTCTTCAGAAAGTTTTTTCTGAGATAATACTGACTATAAAATGTCTGTTAAGATGAAAATCCAGAATAGCAAACACATTGATAACATTTCATAAACCCTGGCTTAGGGAGGCATTGGACACATTGTTCATGTACCACGGCATTGCTGTTCGAGTGCTAGCATGGTGGTAATGTACTGTCACTTAAAAGAAGTTAGCCATTGTAGCAAAGCAACAACTGCCCTCAAAATATCTTTTCATTTGACATGTTTTACTGAGTGTAAGAAAGTTTATCTCCCCTTCCAGCTGTTTGGCTCAGTGTTAATTTTTCTAAGATCCTGTCCTGGGTGTCCTCTTCAACGCTTGACTGCGATGACTGAGTTGAAGATCAGGCAGTAAATGTTTTTTAAGTCCTTAGTAATCCCCTGTGATGGCTGTCTCCAGGTTATATAGCTGTGTTTTATCTATTCATGTGCTCTACTAGAACTGAATTTGTATTTCCCTCTTTGTTCTAATTGTCCTGGGTTTGTAACTTTGATAGCAGGATTGTGGATCCTAACACACTGGCAAAGCTCTGCCACCTCAATGAGAGAGATTCTGCTAGGTTTACTATTAGTGCTGTCTAAGAGTATGAGTGATGGATGACTGTGAGCATAGCAGGCTGTGCAACCAACTCTACCTGTAACATGGAAGGCATTTTCTGTCCTGTGCTTGTGAATCGTTGAAAATCCAAAGGAAACACGGTGTTTGGATCTGTTCCCAGGACCCTCGGAGGTGCCCTTCAGGCCAGGTGTGAATTTCTGAACCATGATCTCAAGACCATTAGGGTCAGCCCTGTTTTCTGCTATGTGAGAGGTAGACAGCCGTTATTCTTGTTGTGGTTGATGTGTAGGGGCTGTTAGTAAGGTACTTTGACAACCAAATGGAATTCAGATGATTTAGCACTGATTAAAGAATTTGTTTCCACTTTCTGAATGAGATGCAACCTGTCATGGTGTCCATCACTAAGACTTTTCCTACTCCCAGACTCCTGGACAATGTGTGAGAGCTGTCTGCTGTTCTCTGGCTTAGATGCAAAGTTTTATGCATACAAACTTGTGAATCATTTGGGGACGAATCAGTAAAAGATTTATAACGGTCACTGACATTGTTAGTATTAATGTGAAGGTTCTGATGTCCCTTTTTCCCACTTTTCTTTTTCAGTTCATTGCCTTTGCCTCTTTATTCTTCATCCTAGTTTCAATCACAACCTTTTGCCTGGAAACACATGAGGCTTTCAATACTATTATAAACAAAACTGAACAGGTCATCAACGGGACAGAAGCTGTGCTACAGTATGAGATTGAGACAGATCCTGCCCTGACATACGTGGAAGGAGTCTGCGTGGTGTGGTTTACATTTGAATTTTTAGTACGTGTTGTTTTTTCCCCCAACAAACTTGAGTTCATCAAAAACCTCTTGAATATCATTGACTTTGTGGCCATCCTGCCCTTTTATCTAGAAGTGGGCCTGAGCGGGCTCTCCTCCAAAGCTGCTAAGGACGTGCTTGGTTTCCTCAGGGTGGTAAGGTTTGTGAGGATCCTGCGAATCTTCAAGCTCACTCGCCACTTTGTGGGACTCAGGGTGCTGGGCCACACTCTGCGAGCCAGCACCAATGAATTTTTGCTGCTGATAATATTCCTGGCACTCGGTGTTTTGATATTTGCCACCATGATCTACTACGCAGAGCGGGTGGGAGCCCAGCCTAATGACCCATCAGCAAGTGAGCATACACAGTTCAAAAATATCCCTATTGGCTTCTGGTGGGCTGTAGTCACCATGACCACCCTGGGATATGGAGATATGTATCCACGGACTTGGTCAGGCATGCTGGTGGGAGCCCTGTGCGCGCTGGCAGGGGTGCTCACCATAGCCATGCCCGTGCCTGTGATTGTTAACAATTTCGGGATGTACTACTCCCTGGCCATGGCAAAGCAGAAACTGCCGAGGAAGCGGAAGAAGCACATCCCTCCTGCTCCTCAAGCCAGCTCACCTACCTTCTGCAAGACAGACTTGAACATGGCCTGCAATAGCACACAGGGGGACATCTGCCTGGGCAAGGACAACCAGCTGATGGAGCACAACAGATCATCAGGTAGGATCCCACTGAAAATGCATGTTCTCTGAAAACACTTTATAGACCAGTGTGTTTGGTAGGGGTCAGAAAGCAGCCAGTCTTTCTGCCAGGAGAAGATGTAGGTCCCACCCTTCTCCCCTCCAGTGTTTGCGTGTGTCAGTCACATAGAGGATGAGATAGGTGTAGCGATGTTCCCAAACCTCTATGTAGCTGGTCTATACAGTTTTGCTTGCTCTGTTGAGGATGCTTTCCTGCTGATGATATCAACCTTTTTTTTTGCCTGTTGTTTGTTGCGTCATATGGATGTTTCTTGTTTTTCTGCATGACTGTGACTATTTGAGCAGCCACCGTGTCCCACCCTGTTGGACTCCATGGTGTTTTGCCTCAGTGTCTGTCTCTTGTGTCAGCTTTGCCTGTTCCACATCGTGGCCTGTTAAGCAAGATCCTACAAAGAAGCAGTCATTTAAAAGGAGCAGGTGCTTTACATCAAAAGCCCAGCACTCAAAGGAAATAAGAAGAAATTATCTTTCTAGCTTTCTTTCCATTTGGCGTTCTGCTTCCCTGGCTAGAAGAACCTCCTTCATCTGTGTTAGATGAGACATTGCATGATATTTACTATTAATTGAATAATAATAGCATAGCTGATGTAAAGTTTGTCAAGACAAATGAAAATGACAGCTCCTAGCAACATCATTGTTGAGTGTTGATTTTTATGATTTATATTACCTTATTTTGTTAAGAGTTCCAAATGATGGGTAAGGAGTAGTCTGTGCTAATCACTGTGAAGATGCATATCATATGACAGCCTCTGCCCCTCCAAGCCACTGCCCCATATTCCATAGCTCTTCAAATTAAAGAGTGAATTTTATCTCTCAGTATAACGAAAAGAACTTTTTTAGCAGCAAGGATTTTTTTGTTTGTTTCTTGAATGTGTTTATTCTGAAGCCAAGCATAATCTGATTACAAAGCTCACATACCAGTCATTAGACTCCTGTTGGAAAGCTGCTAAAGAATAATAAGAGCAAAACCACCCATGACTGGTGTCATTCAGTAACTGAAATTTATTTTTTAAAGAGTCTGGAAAATCGGTCTATGAAAAATATCCGTCTTTGGTCTGTTGCTTTGTTACTGAATAGCATTTCTGTTCAAAGCAGCTTGGTTTCAGTCTCCGAATGAGTGTTCACAAAGTTAACACAGCTTTTTGAACATCCTAAATATATTTAAGAGGATGGAAACCCTTGAAAGGACTCACACTGAGGGTGGAATATAGTTAGTTTTACAGTGCTTTGACTGATACACACTTTCAGACAACGTCTTTAAAGTGTTAATGATAACAGCTTTTTCATGCCATCAGGTCCTACTAAAGGTATGCCAGAATGGAGGCTGCTCAGTGTGATCAGAGCAAAGAGACACTTTTCTGTGTCTGCAGCTTTATTTACAAGGTGTTATAATCCTTGAAGTCAGAGAGAAAGGAGTTATGCAAAAAGGACCCATTTTGAAGAGTTAACTTTCTCTTCAGTAGTGCCACCGCTCACATGGTGCACTGTAACGATTTCTGCTAGGGAATGCTGTTAGAGTCACCAGGGATTCTGGGCCAGACTTCGAGGCTGAACATAGCCATTTGCATTACCTGTTCAGAAAAACACATGCTCAGGCTTAAATGCAAAGGTAAAGCCGAAGTCAATAACATGCTGTTACCTGTTATGTGCTGTATTGAGCAGAGATTTTTTTCTTGAGGTGGGGCCTGAATCTGAACTAGTAGATAATTTTAAAAGCTAATCCTTTGGGAGTGTCAAATCAGGAGATGTAAGAGTTTGGTTGTTTGACAAAATAAACTGCACAGACCAAAGACAGCATTTAATGTTGGGTATTTATGATGACCAGCAGTGCAAGTGTGATAAGTATAGAAATGAAAGCTAAGTGTGTTACTAAAGAGGTTTTAGTGCCACATGTTGAAAATTCAACCCTTCTGGAGGAGGGGTTGTCTTTAAAATATGCTAAACAACATATTCTAAGCAAAAAAGTCTAACACAACCTCTTGTTTAGCAAAAAGGATAGCCAAAAGAGTAAATACTTGCTTGAAATATCCAAGGCTGACTGTACTCCAAGAAGTTACAGTCCATAATAGGCAACTAACTCAGCCTTGATTTGTTTATTTCTTATTTCATGTTAGTTTAGTAGAACTCTGTATGAGCTTTAAAAAAAGAACAGGAAAGTCAAAAAATCATTTGTTCTTGAATAAAAAATAAACTTTTTGCCATTTTGTACTGATTAACGGTGAACTGCAATCTTGTTTTCTTCTAATGATTTACCTTATAACTATTTTTGAGTGATGGGAATATCCGGCATTCAGCATAAGCTCTTTGTGATGTCTCATTTCCTCATTCATTATTGTCTGTAAATGGGCATGGTGCTTTAACCAGTGTTATCAGGTGAAGACAGTGCAGGAAGTGAGCAGCCACTCTCACCTGGTGAAAGGCTCCCTCCCATCAGACGCTCTAGTACCAGAGACAAAAACAGAAGAGGGGGAACATGTTTCCTACTGACAACAGGTGATTACACGTGTGCTACTGATGGAGGGATCAGGAAAGGTATGGACTTCTTTCATTAGATCATAAAAGATTACTCAGCAATGTGCTTGTGAAAAGCAAGCTTAGAGTAAAATGTTGTGCACAATGGTCTTAGAGGAGAGACTGTACTCACAATGTATCTTTTTTCTTTGTTCCTAGCCATTCTTTTCTTGTTTTCCTTTTAGAAACACTCATCTCCTTTAGTCTTCACAAAATGTGCTTGACATTGGACGCTCCTTTCACTTGTGTCTTCATTTGTCTGTTACCTTTAATGGAAAAGCCTGCAGCTCAGACCTTGCTCATCCAACCACTCATCACTCAATACCATTTGTCATTCTAAAAGAAAAATTAATTATTTAATAACTTTGGTCTGCACTTAATAACTTAGTAAAAATTACAGCTGAATAAATTACACTTAAAAGGTTGAAATGTCAGAAGTAAGCAACATTTTTGTTGTGAAAACAACAAAGCATATCATCTGAGATGCTATTTAGATTTCTTTTGAAGAAAAGTTGGAATTTATAATGCCACAAAATGCTTCCTCTTTGTAGCACACCAGTAATGCTAAAAGGTGACTGTCTACCCCAACCAGAATTCAACTAAAATAAACAAAGTTTGATCTTGCAAAGTGCTAAAATTGCCTTTCTAGTTATTTAGCCTCTTTAAACCTCATTCCTCACTGTTCAATAGGACTGGGTTCCCCAGGGCAGAGTTTCCAAAACTTTCTGTCATTATATGTATCACCCAGGCAACTTATGGTGGGGCTGCCACGTCAGGCCAAAGCTAACCTCAGGGCAAAGAGCCAAAACCAGCAATGCCAGCAGTAGACTTACAGTTCCTTGGATAAGAATTGCTTTGGTTTCTTGGTAAATTGTAGTGTTCCAATAGGTTTCACGTTCCTGAGTGCTAGTGTGCAGTTGCTCACCTCAGAATTCATCTGCAGTAGCCATGTGCCACTGGGCAAGCATTTTTGGCTGAGATTTTTCTGCCCACCTGCCCCACCCCTTTTTTTTTGTAAACTTGCTTTGTGTACAGCAAACATAGCTGTCACAGCCAGCCATAGACCTTAAAGGACTTCTCTTGGGTTATTCTGCAGATGCTCTTTTTATGTTGCAAAAGTATGAGCCCAGTAGGTTAAACCTGTGAATCACAGAATCACAGAATGGTAGGGGTTGGAAGGGACCTCTGTGGGTCATCTAGTCCAACCCTCCTGCCAAAGCAGGGTCACCTACAGCAGGCTGCAGAGGACCTCGTCCAGGCGGGTCTTGAATATCTCCAGAGAAGGAGACTCCACAACCTCCC